GTTCAAATATTAATAACATAAAACATTTTATAAACTTAAAATGTCCCATAGCCTTATAAATTTAAATATTTTTAAAACTGTTCCTTAGCTGGGCGGTGGTGGCACACACCTTTAATCCCAGCACTCAGGAGGCAGAAGCAGGCAGATCTCTGTGAGTCTGAGACCAGCCTGGTCTACAAGAGCTAGTTCCAGGACAGCTTCCAAAGCCACAGAGAAACCCTGTCTTGAAAAACCAACAAAACAAAACAAAACCCTTAAAACTGCTCCTTAAAAAAATCCAGTTTTTAAATTTTCTGTAAAAATCTAAAATTTCCTTTTAAAGTTGAAAATCACTCAACTGTGTGTTCCTGAAATATCAAAAATAAAGTACCTTTCTTTTTTTACTTTAAGAGGGAGAAAACGGGGCACAACCACAATCTGCATAAGGCAAAACCAAGCCCCAACATTGCAAACAATCCAAAGCTCATACTTGGGATTCATTCACAATCGTTTGGGTTTTCTGGAGGGGCTTGGCTCACCTCCTTGGCTGCACCCTCAGCAGAATATACATAGCCTGCTTTCTAGATCCCAGCCTGCTCCATTTCACTGTGGCTGGTGCTTCTGGTGACTATCACTTGGCACGTTGGGCGCCAATGTTAAATTTTTGAAGAAAAAGAGGAGGCACAAGATGAGACATGCTAACCATTTTATTATAGGTCCGGCAGAGTAGGGAGACTAAGAGAGAAGAGGAACGGGGGTAATGGCTGACCGCCATGCCCAGTCGCCATAGAGAGGCAGAGAGAGCGTGTAGGTGGGAGAAGAGAGAGGGAAGAAGAAGCAGAGAGAGCGAAGCAGGGAAGTTTGAACTTTTAAAGTGAAGACTGTGCATGTGCACTGAGGTTCACGCATGCCCTGAGTCCTCACGCAGGCTGTAATGCGTGGTGGGTGATGTGGTGATGGCACGTCCCTGTGCGTGCCCTGACTGTTGTCAGGGGGCAGGGTCTGTCTCGTAAAGAGGTAGAGCCGATCAGCATTAAAGCCTGAACCTTTCAACCAGCATTTCCAAAGCTGCTGAGATTCACCCTTGCAACTCTCTTTAGGAACTCAAGCCCTGCCACACATTTGCAAACCTCAGCTGTTCCCCATGATCTCTTCATGTCTTTAAAACCATTATCACCTGGCGAGTCTTAAATTACAAACTTTAGCTGCCAGCACAAGGTGCATTCTTGCATATATATAAGCTTGGAGGTGTAGTTTTAATACCTTATTAAACAACATTGTTTTTAAATCCTATCTTTCATAAATCTTATTTTCAAGACAGGACAGGAATTATCATACAAAAATCACCATAATCCAAAATAATGTGAAGACCTACCTGTTGCTGCCTCTTGGTAGGCCCACTTTACATGGTCACCTTTACTCACAATGGCAGTGAAGTCACATGACATCTGTCTTCTCCAACCCAGCAAAAGATGGCTGGCATCTGGCTTCCCAGAGATGGTAAAGTCACATGACATCTGCCCTCTCCAACTCTAGCAAGTATGGCTTCCAGTCATGTGATTGCCTAAAGACGGTGGCAATCCAAAATGGAATCATGCTGCAAGGTTTCTTTAAAATTACCCATGCATAGATTTTTGCCTATCAACTCATAGTGTTACTAGTTTTAAGTTTTTTTTTCTTTTCAGATTTTACAGATTTTTAACCATACCCAATAAAATAAACTTATAAATCTCAAGGTACAGAATGTTCACGTGAACCAAGTTTATTTATTTTGGCTGTTATGCTTTCTGTCACTGTATCAGGTGGCTCAGACTGACACAGGACATACAGAAAACTTTTAAATATGCTTGGATAAACAAATTTTAGAGCCATCTTTCAAATAAAATAGGATCGCATAAAACAAATTTGATGTTATATACCCAGAAAAGACATCCAAACTTCTGCCAACTTGAATCCAGTGACCAGGGAGCTCAAAGATAAATTCTGAGCCCTGGTCATAAATGCAGCCATGTGGTCACTGGCAGCTGGCTCACAGAAACATCAAAAATATCTGTCTAAGCTCCATGCTTGCAACAAAACTTATGAACACACCAGAAAACACAGACAAAACTTTTCCAACTAAACAGGGAGACATAACTCTCAAGAGAAACAGGAAGACAAACTTTACAACAAGACAAATAGGAAATAAAACTTTCCAACCAGAACCAGATAGGTGGTCAACATCTCACTATATGCCTTGGATGAGGGAATATTGGGGTCCCATTGAATCCCCCATATTCCAGATAGGGATTCCACAAAACAGACCAGACTATGACTCACTAGGAGGCCTCTGTAGAGATCCTTCCTGCATTCCTTAGAACGGCAGTTCACTCCAATAGTCTGTGAACTGAAGGCAGCCTTGGAGCCTTGGGATAGCTCAAGTCACAGGCCTCCTGAAGTGGCCCCTCAGCCCCAAAGAACCAGAGTGAAGGTCCAGCTTTAGAATTTGCATGGGTTGTCTGAATCACGCTGGGGCCTCCAGAAAACATTAATCCTACTGATTGATAATAAGAGTACTACCACAGTTTAAAGCCAAATTTGAAGCAAGTTTTAATTAAATACTGGTCAGGTGGATAGACTTTGGCCAGGCCCATACCAGGTTCCTGGAATTTGTCCAGAATCAAGAATGGCAAGTGCTTAAAAAGAAAACCTATAATTTATTGCATCTCCTATCAGGTCCAATCAGGGGCAAGCTTGTTTAGGGGAGTGAAAACATGTGGCTTATTATCTCCCATAAACCACAACCTCCAACATTTCAGGAACTATCTGTCCTTGGGCAAGGGACTTACAGATCAGAGGCATTTTTATTTCATGGGTCTCTAAGGCATAGTAATTACAAGTTAAAATGTTACTTTGGCTCTCACAGTACCATCATGCCCAGCTCACCCTAGGCCTCTTGTGTTAACGTATTAATTTGTACTTTCCCTTGGTGGTAGTGTGTGTGCACATGTGTGGACACAACAGATGGTAGGTTTCCAAAAGCCCAGAAGCATCCATTGCTGGCCCATGGTATATGTGTTACAGCTCTGGAGGGAAAGGTATCCCAGTAGTCAGGAGCCAAGGAATCCCAGAGCCACACTTCACAACAAACCCCATGCAAGAGATTTACAGGGAGAGATGCAGGAGGGCGACTGCCTCTGCTGGGGTGAGAACCATCAGGGAACTGAGCAGGAGGAAGGCTTTTATAAGGTTTCTTGGGGACAGAGTTTTCCAGGGTAGAGATTTCCAAGTGGGGATAGGTGGGATTTCAAGGCAAACCCAAGGAGGAAATTAGTGGGATTTCAACCTCAGTGATTGCTGGGTTTTTGAGTTCAGCAGTAGCTGTGGTTAGGTGAGTTTTCAAACCCGGAAGTGGACTCCAATCTTTTACCGTACACATGGACCTCATGATCCAACCCTTACTTCCCACACGGAACCCTGTATTCCCCAAAGTCCCTCTTTGACTTGCTGAACTTAAGTTTATGCATATTCTTTTTTTTAAAGATTTTATTTATTTATTATGTATACAACATTCTGCTTCCATGTATATCTGCACACCCGAAGAGGGCACCAGATCTCATTGTAGATGGTTGTGAGCCACCATGTGGTTGCTGGGAATTGAACTCAGTCAGTGCTCTTAACCTCTGAGCCATCTCTCCAGCCCTGGTTTATGCATATTGAATCCCTTCCTTCCCTTCCCTACAAGTAAAGCCCTCTTGGATGGGTGTAATTACTTCTGTAATCCCACACTTGGGAGGTGGAGGCAGGGTAGTTGCAAGGTCAGGCTATCCTAGGATACACATCAAGTCTCTGTCTCAAGAACAAAATAATGAACCACACCCTCTATGGTGCAAACCTGTTCCTCTTCCCTTGAGAAGTGGCCCGCCCCCAGGAGGAGGTGGTCATACGAGTCTGGTCTGAGGACCAAGGTCTGTCTGTGCTCTGGCAACCCAAAAACCACAAGCTTTAACTGAGGACTCGTGGATCAAGATTCACCAGACGAGGATCAATACAGTTAATATAATTTTATTCAGGGAGAAGGCATTTACACAAGAAATAGATGACCTCCACAAGTTCTTGCTCCAAGGATCCACCCAAGCTGTTCTCTGTGACCCGACCGGAACCAAGAGAGCAAGCATAGGTCCTGACCCCAGACCTAATCCTACTCTTGGTTTTGTCCAAACCTGTGACCACACCCAGATGGGCATGGTCAGCGCTACAGGTGCAGGTGTGTGTGTCTGTGTGTGTGGTGTCTCTCCACTCTCTCTCTCTCTCTCTCTCTCTCTCTCTCTCTCTCTCTC